ACCAATTATCCTGTACACGTATTTGGACAGATCTGAGCCCTGTTGTAAAAGACACTTCCGCGGTACGGTTATCGAGTCTGTGTTGACCAATAGGAGTTTGTCCAAGCACTGACATCACTTTGTGGAACAAGGGGCGACCTTGTGGTATGAGCTGACTTAAAGCATGCAGCCCAGTAGTCGAGATGGAGGAGTTTAGAGTTCGCTTTGCTGGGTAGCTATCTGGAAACGTCAGCTGTAGGATGTCTAGTTGAATGGCACTCCGGTGGCCCGATGTTGTTCTCTGGTAGAGTAAACGCCCCAGTACACAATGCCGACTTCAGTGATCAGGTGTCACAATGTAGACGAGTATTAATGTTGAGGCAGGTGACCACCAGAAAAGACCAACAGGTGTCACTGGATAGTGTCACCCTCCGCCTATGCCCTTGCTGGCTGCAAATGTGCAACAGGTACGAGGATGGGCTAGAGTTGCGTTTCTTAGCTATTTCAGGGTCTGTTGATTTCTGGTTTGATTGAATCTTAGATTCGCCCCGATTATGACCCTTGGCCGGTCAGTAATATAACCGTCTCGTGGGTTGCACTGACCTGGTAAACGTCTACGATCTGTGTGACTGGGCCTTCTTCGCAAAACCAGCTTTATGCATGCCACACACTATAATGAACCTTAAATACTGTTCAAGACTTTAACCCAACAAGCTGAAACATTTTTTCTCAACTGTTTGGTTTTTCTGGCTCAACAATACATTATATCACTGTCAATGACCCTAGTGCACTCTCACTCACACGCCGGCAACATTGAGTCGCGTTCCACAAAGCGATCGTTATCATAGATTTAAGCGAATGAGTGAGTTGGGTTTAACACCGCTTTGCACAGTATTCCAGCTTTATCACTGGATGTCAGTTTGATGTGGGATTTCCTCTCAGTGTAGAAGGTCTCGGACGATTACCACTGTAGTGAAACCCAGAAGCACCGATATGGTGCCGACAAACCTAGAAACAGTGAACCGGATTCGAACCCAAAATATTTAAGTTGTAGATCTAAGATCACTTCGTTGGGCGATGCCGGGATGTAGATAGAGACGAATGGTGCAGCTGTCCCATGCTGTATGTTTAATATGATGTGATATTGAATAGAAGGCAGAGGAGGAGGCTTTCCTCATTGACCTTGTCCAACATGAAGGAAGCTCTATCGGGTGCTGCTGTAGTGTTGACGCACCAGCTGAGCTAACGAGGGGAACCAGCATCAGTTGTCCCTTCCCCATCAATCCATGTCATCCATGAGAGGAATTCTATTTGCATTTTCCACCTTATAAATAACAGACATCGGCAAATATTTAACAGTTGTGGTCTGTACGCATTGCATTTGAAAAATTCAATTGGATCGCTTTATTGATTTGCCGAGACGCAAGAGGTGCACGACTTGCAACGTGTCAGCTATGGATCTTACACTTTTTTTCAGCCAAAAAGCACCAGTGTTTATCAGTCGTCACTGCGTAGCTTTTAGTACCTGTATGTTTTCGTTGCGACTAGAATGGAGGTCGAGTAGTCATCTGTGACGTGTTGTTTAACACCACTCTCAGCAATAGTCCAGCTATATGACCGCGGTCTGTAAATAATGGAATCTGGACTAAACAATCCAGTGATTCGCATTATTGGCATCTACCCAGGTAACTAGGATACGATGACATGCATCAGCTACGTCACTGAGCCTGATCAACCGTTTCCGTTTGTCGCCTCTTACGACAAGCATGGGTTGCTGAAGACCACTTCTAGCCCGGATCTTCAAGGGTACATATATGACTTGACGTATTGTACGTAAGCGTACTTGGGCGGCGGGATACGCTGATCATGTAATATACCGCTGGATTTAAAACACAAATCGCGCGTGAGTGCTTCTGTAACACCCAAAACTCAAGTTGCATATGTGGCGTCACTGTTCGTAGACTGATACAATCTCAAGAAAACCAGATCGTTTGCACTAATACCATACCTCTCTGCACGAAGGTATGACACACGGAGGCCGAGTCAGGCGAACATGAGCAAACTTTGACAAGTTTATATAAAGGCTTAAGATGAACATTGGTCAACTTTCTATTCCGAATTGGGTTCACTTCTTTAAAACAATTCAGAAACGTCGACAAACGAAAATACACAGATAACTATACCATCGATAGTACACCGTTTTCGTGTTGACACCTTGGCGCTAAGAATCGAAAGAGTTTATTATACCGACAATTTAAAAGGGTCCACGTTGATTGGTCGAATGGAAAGTTCACATGACGCGACCTCCTGTAGAGTGATTGTCAGATCTTCACGGGAGATATCGTACATGAGTAAATAATCTCATTTTAATGAGATTGAGACAAATACAAATTCTTTCCACGTGGGATCCCATCTGAACCAAGCAATCCATTGGTGGAGAACTTGAACATCCACCTGCTCAGCTGCGTCAGCATGACGTATAATCAGACGAGTACTTCCGAGGTATGGATCTTGTCACTTCCGAGTGATCATGCATCTTGCCACTCTTGTTCAAGGTGTACTACTACCTCAGGGACCCGTGAAGATCCGCGGTAGAATAGGTCTTCAGCAACCCATGCTTCAAAGAGGCGACTTTGCTTGTCGTAAGAGGCGACCATGCTTGTCGCAAGAGGTGACTAACGGGATCGGGTGGTCAGACTTGCTGACTTGGTTGATGCATGTCATCGTATCACAATTAAGGATCGATGCTCATGATGTCTTGACAAGACACGAATATTTACAGCCGCCGTCATAAAGCTGAAATATTGCTGAGTGCGGCGTTAAACAACGGACAAATAGAAAAACAAACTACCTTAGGCGTGCCCGAATCCTATAATCGTGGATTCGAATCATGGAATCCCCTTGGTTCTTGGTTCGTCAGTACCATATCCGTGCCCGTGGGTTTCACAAAAGTGCTGAAACGCCACTTCGGGTTTCCTTCCCATATTAATACTGACACGCCGTGATGTAACTGACATATTATGACGAATACAATGCCAAGAAACAAAGCCAGCCTAGAAATGCCAACCTAGAATCATAATTGGGGCGAACCGGGATTCGAACCCACGATCACAGGTTTCTGGCGTTCACAAGGGACGCAACTCTGCACAGCGAATTGTGGTGCCCTGAAGTACTGGGCCACACAGTGCCCCCAATGACCCTTAACTTGATTTGAGCCACAGAGTTGATGTGAGCAGGTATTTTTTTTTTGCTTAGTTCTGTAACAGCCCGATGTTAACGTGTAATAATTCTTGCCGGATCCCGCTCTTAATGTCTCTATATATCACTCAGACACCGCCTATGCTTCAGTAAGCCCGCAAATGAGACCTTCGCAGAAAAGTGTCTGCAATCTTTTCCTGCCTATAGCGGCTTTCATTCTCCCGTCCGAAATAATTCTCCTCACCAACCTTGGCGCGACCCGTCTCCAGGGGCGAAATGTTATCAAGTCAGTCGGTGTTGGCAAATTCGGTTTATAAATGGTTATGCGAGGAATAGCTGGAAGAAATGCGCAACGATGCCACACCAAATGAGGTTAACTGCAACGCAGAACAGGCATTTACAATTTCAAGTGGCGATATTAAAAAAATATGTCCACTTGTATCTTGGATTTGGCCAGGAATGACACGAGTTTAGTCAATCGATATCCCAGCGATGGTGAGATCGGACAACCAAAATTACCGAATTACTTGGTGACAGGTTTACCACATTGAGGCCTGACCATCGACTGAAGCGCTTCTTTTATTTACAACGAATAGAGGTGTGTGTGTGTGTGTGTGTGTGTGTGTGTGTGTGTGTGTGTGTGTGTGTGTGTGTGTGTGTGTGTGTGTGTGTGTGAGTGTGTGTGTGTGTGTGTGTGTGTGTGTGTGTGATGGAGGGAGGGAGGGGAGAGAGTGGAGGAGGTAGGGGTTAGGGAGGGAGGGAGGGAGGAAAAGTACCATCCTTTAACGTATATTGGTTTGACGCGGCCGGGATCGGACCACCGGCCTTCGCTCTCCGGGCAGACGCTCTCTCCACTACATGACGGAGGCGGTTTATAATGGAATAGGGACAGGACAGAGGTGTAAAATAACCCCTACAATAGGATAGCGGCGCAGGGTAAGGTGTATCCGGCAGTGAAATGGACAGACCATGGCCAACAGCAATCATCCCAAGGCAAGGGAGTTAAGTGACTATAAAAGTCAAGTTTCCTCCGTGTGTCAGGTGATCACTTAATAGGCTAGGGGACAGTGAAGGTGTCTCAGGTGATCCCTATATTAGACTAGAGGACAGTGTAGGTGTGTCAGGTGATCCCTATCATAGACTAGGGGACAGTGTAGGTGTGTCAGGTGATCCCTTAAATAGACTAGGGGACAGTGTAGGTGTGTCAGGTGATCCCTTGAATAGACTAGGGGACAGAGTAGGTGTGTCAGGTGATCCCTATACTAGACTAGGGGACAGTGTAGGTGTGTCAGGTGATCCCTATACTAGACTAGGGGACAGTGTAGGTGTGTCACGTGATCCCTATACTAGACTAGGGGACAGTGTAGGTGTGTCACGTGATCCCTATACTAGACACGGGACAGTGTAGGTGTGTCAGGTGATCCCTTGGATAGACTTGGGGACAGTAGGTGTGTCAGGTGTTACATGTTGCTAAGCAGTTGCAACATGTTGCTAAACAGTTGCTACATGTTGCTAAGCAGTTGCTACATGTTGCTAAGCAGTTGCTTCTTGTTGCTAAGTGTTTGCTTCATCTTGCTGAGCACCATGTGGTGCCTCATAATTTTTATGTGAAGTTTACCTTCTTGTCTCATGATTATATAATTTCATGTGGAGGCACCGATGGCATGGGTCAGTCACTGGTTTGCCTGGCACAGACTGGATTGAGGACAGGACAGCATGATATAGCTGGAATAGTGCTGGGCGCTGTGCACAACATGCATCCGATGAGAGTTGAAGGTGCTTTTATAATATCCAATACAACAGGAATGAAAACAAGACAACACTAAGAGTAACAAACATTTTATTACAATTCAACAATAATGGAAACGCCTAGCTTACTCGCCGAGGTACCCCCAGCACTGATTGAGCTAGCCCGACAGCCGAGGCTTTGTAGGTTTTGCAGAGTCTAGCACACGGGCTGCAGCTTTTCGGTCAGTTAAACAGAGATCTACTCCCACTACATATAGGCCGTTGATTTGGGGCCAATGCAGTCGTTCTACTTTTGCCTCATAACCTTGGTCTGGGGACATCGGAGCTGGTGCTTTTTCATCACATAGACCATTTGAGATCGAGCCTCATCACTGCACCACCCCAAGAGATCTAGCCTTTCCACTGTACCAATCTGAGAGATCTAGGTACATCGACACACCACCTAGAGATCACAGCGCTATACCAACCTGAGAAATCTAGCCTCATTCATGGCTGCACCACCTCACGAGATCTAGCCTTCACCAACCTTAGAGATCTAGCCATATCTGTGCATCACTCCCAGAAATCTAGCCTCATCACCTGATCACTGCAAGAACCTGAGAGATCTAGCCTTTCACTTTACCAACCTGCGAGCTCTAGCCACATCGCTGCATGAAACTGAGGGATCTAGCCTCATGGCTGCAGGACCTGAGAGATCTAGCCTCATGGCTGTACCAACTTGAGAGATCCTGCCTCATTGCTGTACCACCCCAAGAGATATAGCCTCACTTCTGTACCACCCCAAGAGATCTAGCCTCACTTCTGTACCACCCTAAGAGATCTAGCCTCACTTCTGTACCACCCCAAGAGATCTAGCCTCACTTCTGTACCACCCCAAGAGATCTAGCCTCACTTCTGTACCACCCCAAGAGATCTAGCCTCACTTCTGTACCAACCTGAGAGATCCAGCCTCATTGCTGCCTCACCCAAAGAGATCTAACCATATAGAGATACCACCAATACTGGGAATTTATGAGGCATACCCGACCCCTATGCTAGCCAGTTACGTGTTACTATAAATTTTTAATTATTGTGTCATTCTTAAATAATTGCATCGACTTAAATATATCATACCACTAATAAGCTGTTGCAATCTTGAGGAACTTACGGCAAAACTAATATTTGTTTCTCAGTTCGATAATTGTGATCGAAAATACAACACGTCTAATCGAACTTGAATTCGTTTGTCAGCATTCTATACTGACAAATCTACACCTAGTTCAGCGGAACAATGAATTCTACCGTAAACCCAAATCCTGACTAAACACCAAAATAACACATACCAAGTAACAGTTAACGGTACCCAACTTTAGCTGAGAGTTACAGTCTATGGACTTCTTACATCCTAAGATAAAGACAGAGCCTGGAGACCAGGTTGTGTCAGTCAGTGGTTATTCAAACATTTCCCCATTCAATCTGCATACAATATGGAGAGTTAGTTCATGATCTAGAACTGTCAGGGGTTTCGTTCAGTACCAGGAAGATAGCACAGTGGTTAAAGTGTTAAGACGTCACGCCGAAGACATGGTTAATTCCCATAATGTTTGAAGCCCATTTTGTGGCTTGAATATTGCTTAAAGTGGCGTAAAACCATACTCACTCACTCACTCACTCCAACTGAATCGTAATAGACAACATTCCCGACTATAATCTGCATCTAGTAACATTCTGTTCGGTCCACTAAATAGTGACATGTTTTTGAGCCCATCTGAAGAGTAGTGTCACAAAATTGATTTGCTCCATTGAAATAACAATAGCAATCAGTTACTAGGAGCTACATGAAGTGACCACTACTTGACCAGGTCTCGACCTCTACTGACCAACAAGTCACGTGTGATGAAAAGCAATCACGTGTGAGAAATCTGCATGTGTGACTAGTGCCCTAGACTAGTCTCCAACCCGCAACCTTCAACCTATACGGGCTAGCCTCCCTTTAACGGCGTCACTAGGGCGACCTTGACCCAGCTGGGGTAACTGCTAACGCTAAATGAAATGAATAAGTTGATCACGTGCAATGCAAACACGTCTATACCGTTCATCTCAATGTGTTCATAGAACCTGTCGTGCGTTGCACAACAGCCTAGTAGTAAAACACTCCAAAAGGGTAGTTTAACTCGCAACGGGCAGATTACAAAACTTGTTATAGAAAACGTCAGCACGAGACGAGAGCGCACGTGACTAGCTTCTGCCAATCACAGGCGAGAACGTTACGGCGCACTCGCTGTGGAATGGTAAGATAAGATATAGAATGACCTTTGAGTTACAAAATCAAATCATAATCGAAATTTATAATGCAAATATACAACCTGATTCAAACGGACACAATAATAGCAAATCTATTACATACACGACCACAACACACGTGTAACATGGTATCTTTCTGCAGAGGTCAAAATAACGACCTTTCGTTGCTTAGTAACGACGCGGGGTCTATGCTAAGACCGAGATGTTGATTGGTGCATACAGACTATATGCGTTGGCTGATTGGCTAATACGTACTGTCGCAAAACAAACACATCAAGTCATCTTACTGAGGGATGTCACTCGTACATAATACTGTAAAAATAGCAGTAGAACTGAAATAGGGATACAAAGGGATCTTCTGGTGTTGGGTACATTGATAGACTGCCGGGGACTCTGTTGTCTGTCGGAGTGTTTCATGTCCTTGTGGTGCCGTCTTCACCCTCAACTTGCTGGAAAAGATTCTTTTGGACACGAAGAACAAGTAGTAGAAGTTCAGGGACCAGTCATTGAGTTGGGAGGCGTGTGTTGGTTAATACAGGTGTGCTTGTGTGTCAGGGGCCAGTCATTGAGCTGGGAGGCGTGTGTTGGTTAATACAGGTGTGCTTGTGTGTCAGGGGCCAGTCATTGAGTTTGGAGGCGTGTGTTGGTTAATACAGGTGTGCTTGTGTGTCAGGGGCCAGTCATTGAGCTGGGAGGCGTGTGTTGGTTAATACAGGTGTGCTTGTGTGTCAGGGGCCAGTCATTGAGTTTGGAGGCGTGTGTTGGTTAATACAGGTGTGCTTGTGTGTCAGGGGCCAGTCATTGAGTTGGGAGGCGTGTGTTGGTTAATACAGGTGTGCTTGTGTGTCAGGGGCCAGTAATTGAGCTGGGAGGCGTGTGTTGGTTAATACAGGTGTGCCTGTGTGTTGTTGTTTTGTGTGTGTGTGTGTGTGTTTTACAATAACTACTTTTTCTGGGTTTTTTTAACAAATATTGTTTTCCCCATAAAATAAATCCAAGTCCCTCAAATACTAAAAGTGTGAGCAGCTTAGCTGGAGAGATTCACTGAAACCATTTAGGTTTATGGCAATGACAATGCCAGTTATTTTCACGTAAATTAATTTTTTCTCTAAAAGTCATGAAATATAAGCCCGCAATTGTGAAAGTCCAAGATAATAATTGTGGGGAGGGTATATTACTTTAGTAAAGTTATTGATAACATATCCTCAAACAACCCATGTAATTACTGACTGGCCCCTCACATGTTTAAAGCGATGTTACAAAGAATACTATTCGACACATACGCTCTGAAAACTAATCTTAATTATACAGGTTCAAACCATGAGGTTTATTTGTTAATATAAATTCTTTTCCGTGAACAAGCTTAATGGTTTTGAGGTGCCTTATCCACGCATTATGTAAACATGATCTACTAAGAAACAGAATAATACAGAGCGCCCATAAGGAAGTGGCGCGTTAGGACATCCGTAAGAAAGGTGAATTACACATTCGTTAGTTATTTTAGTCCCACGGTATTATTAAAGAATTGATTTGGAAACATGGTTACTGATTCAATAGTATGCTGTGGTTGGTTGTGGTGGGTTGTCTCATTGCCACAACAACCTGTATCGCATTGATGTTAATGATGTAAAAAATATAGCTGTCATGCTAGTACAACATGAACCAGGCGATGACAGAAATAACCATAGACCTACAGATGCACATCACAGAACTTACTAACAAGATGTTCAACTATCCATAGTAAGGACTCCTACTCTAAACTGATAAAATACTTCAATATAAACCGTATTTTTGTACTCCTATCTATAGCTATCGACAGCAAGTCATTGATCAAGCAATTGCCAATACCTAATTTCTGGTCAGTTCAGAAGGAAATCTCCAATATCACCAGATACAGTTAGGTAACTGATCTAGTTAGTATTCGTCGGCCTGTACTTGAAACCTGATAAATACCAATAAAAGTCAAACAATGCTTAAAATATACTACTCAAAATATGTTAAGGATCACACGATTCTTCATATTACTACAGTTAATTCGTCATGAAATAACAGATTGACTATGGTAATATGAAAAAACCAGGTGATTCTTAATTTATTTTGAGTAGTATAGTATATCACAAAGCATACTGGAGCAATTCCGGTACAACCGGAAGTAGTGACGGCAGTTGTATGTCAACGTCATTTACTCCTGCAATAAATGACTGTCAATGGCAAATACGACTACGACTGGTGACGAAGTCACTGGAGCGTACCTTTAACTGTAACTGCTGTGAAGGGGATTTATCACAAATGTAAAGACGGTTTACATTTTGTCCGTCATTTCCAAGACGATATTCAACTTAGAAGTCCGAAAATATCCCGGGACGTAATTCGTATCAATGGGCACCTGTACAAGTATGTAAAGATAGGATAACTGAGGTTTTGATATTTACCACAGGGGGGTGTTGATGATCGGATAAACTGCCTTGTACTAACGTAATTCATTGTGATCATAATGCCTGGCTGTTCAGGTAATGCAACGGTAATACTCACAGTTACAAGTAACTCACACTGGAGCCAAAGCATGGGATGCAGAAGGAATCCTAACTTATGTCACCCGACATTTTTTTTCAAACTCATGAAGAGACTGGTTGTCATGGCAATTGCCTTGATTTCTATCAGACTTGACTGTCAATAGCTACAGTACTGTAGATGTAGTAAACAACATAGGCACATGTATGTAATCTTTCATGAGCAGTTAGCTTCCTAACAAAAATGGAAACTGTGTCGTGTTCTCCTTGCGTTAATAAGTAACAAATGGAGGCATGTAGCTCACCTTCTCAGACGTTGGAACTCTTACACACCTAAGTAGATAGTGAGTGAGTGAGTGAGTGGGTGAGAGTGAAGAGAGTTTCAAGTCCCTTTTTAGCACTAGGTTATCGTTATTACAACTAGTGGGGGATAACGAAATGGAACTTCCATAGTAACAGTTGTCGGGCACGGGCGAACACATTAACCACTGTGCCCCATGCCTGCCCAATGCTGGATAGTATGGTTTAACAATGTTTTGAACACTATGCCAATTATATCAAGGTGTGCCTGCTTAATGTGGGATGAAAGCCCTAAGTGTTGCTGATATATACATGTATACCACTTTGGTGAAACCCATAAGAACGGGTGTGGTGTTGACAGACAGGTATCATGATCAGTGCGATTTAATGCACAGTGGATCCTGGCACTAGCAGGGGAAGCAACTCTTAGTCCAATGGACAACCCATGTCCCCGATGCTGGATTAGCTACAATCATCCACTGATCGATCGATTTGCTGTATTTACAAAATGTCCACATGTAGGTAAAATACATTCTAACTTCTTTGAGTGGCATTTAGAAGTTGGAATGGTAACTAAGACAAAATTGTTATGGATGAGCAACTTCTTTATTACAATCATCTTTTGCTTAATAACGGTGTTAGAATCTACACCGAAACGTCGCCCAATTGTAATAAAGAAGTTGCTCATCCATAATTTTTTTGTCTTAAATACATTCTACATTAAATATATTTACAATTAGTGGACGTGGAGGAGCCTCGCAGTGAAAGTGTTCGCCCGATACACCCAAACCAGGATTCAATTACCCAAATGTGGGAAGTGCATTACTTGGGTCACTCGCCGCGATATGGCTTGAATTTTGCTCACTCACTCACACACTAAGATTGCTGTCTAGTGAAAGATACTGAGGTAATATTGGATCACAGTAGTTGTCCAACAAATGCTAAGTAGCTGAGTTCCAAAACCAAGGGACTTGTCTTCAAAGATCATCATCTTCACACAGGGAAAAGCAACAAAATCATAATCTCGTTCAAACGAGATCTCAAGAGATCCCAGTGTGCGAGAGACTTTGAACGGCTTAAACATAGGTTAAGGAACAAACATTTCTCCCGACCGGAAGAACAACCCAAGGGGGACAACTCTTGCACTGATAACGAATTGAGCATGGCAAGAACCTTGACAGATACATAACAAGCTGTGAATTGTCTCCATCACTTGAAACTATGTCAGTGGGAAAAGCATCAATGGAACTTAACCTCCATTAACCTCTGGGGTTACACGTTTGCTTCATTGGGTCATACACGTGCTGTGAACAGTGCTTGTGTCACGAGTGCGCCCCAGTACAGTGGCGCCCTAAGCTGACGAGATCACTCCGTTTCCCCAGAATATCGGTGCCAAGCGTCTTGTGACGCAGCATGAGAATCATGCACAACATTGATCTCGCACGGTGATGGCCTTGAAAGTGTTGGATTGCTGAGTGCTTGTCAAGACTTGTCAAGCGAGTTAAAAAGTTACGCATAAGCTTACTAAGATCACAGTCATATTGAAACCGGCAAAAACCAATGTAGAAAATGTCCAATGTACATTTTAGAAATTGCATAAACGTTAATGGCGTGGCCAAGGGTCGCCATGGTAACCACCCCACTCCCCTGCCTGGAAGCTGTGACGTCACTTGCAGCACACTCCATGGCATTAGAAAATTGCATTGATCACGTGACAATCTGGAAGCCTTTTAATACCAAGTTGATTGGCCAAGTGTTTTCCTGCCGACATTCATCACATCCGTCCACACGCCGTGGCAAGATGGCGAACTGAAACATACGATAATAAAACGTTATTGTTTAAATTTGTGTAGTAAGGAGAGAGTAGTTTGGTCATCAGCATTGTTTTATATTTAATTAAATATGCATAATTATATTTCAAATTATATTTCATTTTTTAAAAAGGTGTGTGAGGGTATATGCATGGTGCATAATAGAGGACTAATCTGATTTATTTACAAATTAAATCCGAACCTGGTGACGAAAAAATTCAGTACTGATTAGGCATTAGAAAATGCAAGAACATAGGTGTGCACACATATACAATTCGGCGTCCAAAAGATACTAACACTTCACAATTTTATGATTTTTCTCAGTCCAGATTAAGATAAATCAACCCCTGCTTGTTTAAGTATAGGTGATAAAGTTACAGAGCAACCATGCTCCACTGTTCATGGTCCTTTAGAGTGGGAACTGGGGCACATGAGGATAATAGATGATAAACGTTGTAACGTTTAAGCAGTCACGACAAAGACATATTCTAGACTGCCAATTGACACAAACCTAAAAACAAGCATCTAAAAACAGCATATCAGGACCTGATGGTGAGGCTAGGCTCAGAAATTTCCCAGAGGCAAGGGAGTTGTCCCATCGTCTTGACTGGGTCCCGCCATTTTGTTTGCAGCAAATGCAAATAATATGAGAAGTGGAATCTGATTGGTCAATAGGAGTGACAAAAAAGGGACATAACTATAGTAGCAACTGGTGAAATTTGACTTTTATAGTCAGTTAACTCCCTCGGTAAAATAATTCTCAGCTGGTTTATTGTGAGTTGAAGTTTCATGTTTTAGCGAGACCCTAAGTGGACCAACTGCAATTCCAGACGTAATTAAATGACCTAACATACATACTCTACACCCCACAATGAAAGAACCTCATTTTCAATAGCGTGACCAATGATTTTGCCCAACAAGCAGTTCACATCCTAGCAAAGATAAATACCGAGATTGTAATCAATGTTAAGGACCCGTAGGGCGCTTAGGGACCGACCATTAGATATTGACACAATGTAATTTTTGTGGCCGACAATGTTGTCCCCAACAATATTAAGCAGAATTATTTTATTGACGGGTACAAAGGAATTGTATTAGAAAAGTTCGATAAAATCTAAGCTGAAGAAGATGTTGTTTACACCTATGTCTCACTAATTGGATGTGAAACGGGAAATGTAGACAATGACTAAGTCGACAACTGTAAATAATGAAAAGAGCAAGATTGAAGATGAAAGCTACCCCCCAAAAAACAGGCCTGAACGCAACCAGTGGTTTAGCCAATGGACGTGCAATCCATGCCCCCTAAATAATTACACTTAGTATATGTTCAAGTGTGACAGTAATAGCGTTCAAGGACCTGGCAGACTTCTATGGACATCGAGACGATGGATGGACGACGACAGTCGTATCATATCTCCTAATCAGGAGACTGAGCTACAGATATGTACTGGGTGCGGTAACATTCTATTCATGTGCTATGCAGGAAACGCAAAGGTTTGATATCAAGTTGATATTAACCACATAAATCAAAGGCGTGGCCTAGTCTCCCGGACATGTAAGCCTCGACATACCATGAAAGTAGGTTGCTATACAGGGATACTCCACTGGATATGTAAAGCATGACGTCCCATGAAAGCAGGTGGTTTGGTATATGGGATATGTTTAGCAGGACGGACCATGAAAGCAGGTGGTTCAGTTTATCGGATATGTTTAGCATGACGTACCATGGAAGCAGGTGGTTAGGTATATAGGATATGTAAGGCTTGACGTACCACGAAAGCAGGTGGTTCAGTATATCGGATATGCTTAGCATGACGTACGATAAAAGTATGTGGTTCAGTATATCGGAAATGTTTAGCATGACGTACGATGGCAGCAGGTGGTTCAGTATATCGGATATGTAAGGCATGACGTACGATGAAAGCAGGTGGTTTAGTATATCGGATATGCTTAGCAGGACGTACGATGAAAGCAGGTGGTTCAGTATATCGGATATGCTTAGCAGGACGTACAATGACAGCAGATGGTTCAGTATATCCGATATGCTTAGCAGGACGTACGATGAAAGCAGGTTGTTCAGTATATTAGATATGCTTAGAATGACGTACAATGAAAGCGGGTGGTTCAGTATATCCGATATGTTTAGCATAATGTACCATGAAAGCAGGTGGTTCAGTATATCTGATACGTATAGCATGACGTACCATGAAAGCAGGTGGATCAGTATATCGGATATGAATAGCATGACGTACGATGAAAGCAGGTGGTTCAGTATATCGGATGTGTTTAGCATGACGTACCATGAAACTAGGTGGTCAGTATATCGAATATGCTTAGCATGACGTACGATGAAAGCAGGTGGTTCAGTATATAGGATATGTTTAGCATGACGTACCATGAAAGAAGGTGGTTGAGTATATTGGATATGTTTAGCATGACAAACGATGAAAGCAGGTGGTTCAGTATATCGGATATGTTTAGCATGACGTACGATGAAAGCAGGAGGTTCAGTATATTAGATATGTTTAGCATGACGTACCAAGAAAGCAGGTGGTTCAGTATATTGGATATGTAAGGGATGACGTACAATGAAAGCAGGTGGTTCAGTATATCGGATATGTTTAGCATGATGAACGATGAAAGCAGGTGGTTCAGTATATCTGATATGTATAGCATGACGTACGATGAAAGCAGGTGGTTCAGTATATTGGATATGTAAGGCATGACGTACGATGAAAGCATGTGGTTCAGTATATCGGATATGTTTAGCATGACATACCATGAAAGCAGGTGGTTCAGTATATTGGATATGTTTAGCTTGACGTACCATGAAAGCAGGTGGTTCAGTATATTGGATATGTAAGGCATGACGTACCAAGAAAGCAGGTGGTTCAGTATATTGGATATGTAAGGCATGACGTACCAAGAAAGCAGGTGGTTCAGTATATTGGATATGTAAGGGATGACGTACCATGAAAGCAGTTGGTTCAGTATATCGGATATGTTTAGCATGATGAACGATGAAAGCAGGTGGTTCAGTATATCGGATATGTTTAGCATGATGAACGATGAAAGCAGGTGGTTCAGTATATCTGATATATATAGCATGACGTACGATGAAAGCAGGTGGTTCAGTATATTGGATATGTAAGGCATGACGTACGATGAAAGCATGTGGTTCAGTATATCGGATATGTTTAGCATGACATACCATGAAAGCAGGTGGTTCAGTATATTGGATATGTTTAGCTTGACGTACCATGAAAGCAGGTGGTTCAGTATATTGGATATGTAAGGCATGACGTACCATGAAAGCAGGTGGTTTAGTTGATTGGCTGTGTTAGACAACGCCCACACTAAAAGCATGTGATTATCAGTTCAACTTGGATATGAGACCATGCTATGGGATATTTTATAAAATCTTACCAGTGTCGTAGCCAGTCGGGTGGGGTTTGGGCAGTTGCCTTCCCTAGATTTTTTTATAGAAAACAGTTTTATTTGAATTAAGTTGGGGACAAGTTATACTTGTACAAATATTTGACACCCCTGTCAAAAAAAGTTAACTACGGCCTTGCTTACTGTAGTAACCTGCTCTATTGATACTCATGAAAGTCCTACCACGATGTACCATGACGTACCTTGTGAGCAGGTGGCTCCGCTAGCCACTGGAATCTGGGAAGAGAATGTTTTCCCGCGTGTCCTGACTAACGTCCGACTGCAGACTGTTGACAACGTTCTCCATATTGGTATCGCTGTCAGTTGGGCCAGAGTCGGCGGTGTCGTAAATACTGACGGTGTGTTCCTCGCCGCTCATCTGGCTGCCGGCCGTCCGACTGACCACGTCACTGGAGGGGGACGACTTCAGAAGGTTGGGGTCGGATAGACTGGAGTCAGACAACGAATAATCAGCAGAATTTGACCCAATGTAACTTTCATCCAGATTGTCCGAGGGGCTGGTGTCGTTGAGAGGGGAAGAGCCTTGGCTTGGGCAACGCAGCTGCTTCCAGAACGCGTTGTTATGTGGGCCAGCAACGCTGTCGCTGAACTCGACATCCTCTTCTGATCGCTCGGGGCTGTCAGGCGTCAAGCGTTGACTCTCCTCGTCTGTGCTGTCAATGTGACGCATCCCAGGGGTAGAGTTCGTACTGTTATGGGGAGGGGGTTCCGGAGTAATATCAATCTCAATATGAGGTTTGTGACAAGATATAATATTGTTTTCATATAAATTGCTGTTTTGAGGAGAGTTAGAGAACTGTCCCGTGCATTCTCCATCTCTGCACGCGGCAAGCAGCAAATGCTCAGTTTCCTCGTGATTAACCACGTCCCTCTTTAATATAGATTTCCTTTTAGTGGGCGGCGGTTCCAGTAAGGAGGGGCTAGAGCGCTGCTTCGGCGACAGTTTTTCTGAGTTAAGACGGCGGCTGGTGGGCTCGCAGCCTGCAAGGAAGGAATACAAGCTGACGTTACAAGCATGCTGAGCAGACATCTACCGTGACGTCACTTCACGACGAGAGGTGCGCGTAGGGAAGGGAGATAACTGGTAATGGCCTAAACAGGTATATAAGCATTGGCGTGGTTTTGGCAGTTGAGTATTTATACATGTTAAGGCTAGATCATGTATGGGGTAGAGTATATGGGCTACACTGGGTGCATTTGTTTGACCTCCAGTAACAAATTTGATTCGAATATTTGCAACCTTGGAGACCAAACGAAAGCACTAGGATTACACAGAGAGACTGTAAGCATCTGTTGAATGAGACGGCGGGAGATAGCACGTGCTCGATGGGTGAAGCAACGTCACTGCATTGTGAGGGGTGGTGGTTGACGTCGAGGTCAGCGGATGGATGTACGAGGGGAACGGACGGACGCACGAACTGGTGTGACCACACACAAGCAGAGCCACGGACAGCTGGACGTAAGAAGCCAGCTGACCGCGGACAGTTATCATCATTCTAGGGGAGACAACAATGACTGACCAACTGACCGACACAGCATGGGTGGCCGGGAACGAACACATGGGGGTACGTCAAGCCAGAGCCCACAGAAAATCACCCCAAGAAGTAATTTCATCCCCTGAAATTTAGAAATGACCAAAAGTCCAATTTTATTATTACACCGCATGGACATAACAAGAATTTCGGCTTTCAGTTGATATGCCAAAAGATGAAAATTTGAAGTGGAGCTCTCCCTTTAAGTCGTGGTTGACGGGGAGAAATCTCTCCTTATATATCGCCACACCAGTGCACGTGTCATAATGCATAAAGCGCCCTCTTGCGGTACAACTTGACTCACCTCACTTAGTTGAGCAGAAACCTTTCATCTGGAATAAAATTAGGCGTCAAGCCATCGTCAGTAAAGGTTCTTCTGAACACTTATATATATGTTTTGGAGTGTAATAACGTACAGTGGTGACAAACACAATCATATCCAATAACACATACACATACAAGAACATGTTTATACTATCATGAATTTTAATACGATTTCACCTTAACAACCTACCGTGTTCGTTATCTGTTCAGCAGCCCATTGATGCCCTACGACTGACTACCACTACAAGATATGTCATTTAAAGAATATGCATATTTTAACAATACACATGACATCTACTTTTAACCAAATCTTTACAAACGTTATTAAATAAACTAGAAACCGGCCAGCATGCATGTTATATCAAAGTCAGATAAAATATATGGCATGCTAAACTCCTAAAATAGAATGTCTTAAATAAATAAAGTGCAAACATCTCACATTCCATTAAATACTGGATTCACACTAAGGAAGTAAACCGTTGCATAATGTACGTGTTCTATAACGCAAGAATACACTATGGCTTTATTAGCGTGTGGGTGGTTCTCATACGGTGCAATAAAGAATAAAATAATATGAAGCATCTTGGAAATTGTTCAAACGGCTATCTTATCTACAAAAGAATGTATTGGTCCTTACCTACAGCGGCAAAATTAACATCGTGAGATTTCACACGTCTGTCCTATTTTTCCAAATAACAGCAACAATGCAGTATACCAGAAACTTCCGCCATTTTGGTAAGGGATGTGCACAAGCTCATTCCTTAGTAACGGTTTGTAAGTTTTTCAGACACAAATTTTGTCACCTCGCTAAAATAACAGGGGGTTTGGGGTTCTTGTCCCCCAATCAACAGCTTGAATCAAATGCATTCGTAAGAAAATGAAACGTTTAATTGCCAAAGTAGATACAAAATACTTGTTTACTGAAATGCTCTTCCATCGGAGGTCACTGATGAGGTTGTCGCACGCCATGATGGAATTTCTATTTTCGAGTACTTTTTTATGTTGATGTCCAATTTTCGATGTTTATGTATCGCTTTGATTTTCAGTTTCAAGATAAAATCATGTTAAACCATACAAATTCAAGCGGGGTCATTTTTCTGCCTGTTTTGAGCTTTTTTGCCCTATTTTTCCAGTAGTGATGGTTTCGCATGCGACCTTATTTGTAGCATCAAACAAACATGGCGGATTGGTGTTCGGTATAATGCATGTGTACCCAAATAACAGTAAAAATAAGGGATTACAACTGATCAATCGAGCTATGCATTGATTCATCCGCTCGGCTTCAGTAAGTCTGACTTTCAAATGAACGCGGAAGGGGAGATAACTCAGTACTGCTTACCGATCATGTCCATGTATAATCCTGTCATGTTGGGTTCGAATCCCCGGTTCTTCCTGATTATTGTCGGCACCACACACAGATTTCAACAAAATGGGAAAGGTATTGTACCTACATTACTCTGGCCTTGCAAACAATCACAAAGCAGACGGGTTGTGGGGTTTACCGCAGTATTTGGGTCCCCAAATCGGAACGAACGTTTTTACGTTTTTACGGAAGTTGTCGAATGAGAATAACGTTCCACGCATGCGCACTTCGTTATTTACGGTCGGAGCGAAAGGATTTGTAGACCGTCAGTTTTTTCTACCGAACGCTGTCGAAATTTGAAGGTAGAAAACGGGGGTGGTAACCTTATTGCGGGAACCGTATTGCGATACGTATCACGATATATTGTATAATTCTCAATTTTGATTTCAGAAGCAATTTGAAAGACCAGTGTATGAATTGAAGTTCATAAATGGAACAAAAAACAGTTGCTGGAACAACGTAATGTTTGATCTATCGTATTTTCTTGAGTATAGCGCATACGTTTTTGTGCATTATACATGGCATGAGTTGTGATGTTTTTCCCCCAACGCAAAGACATAACCGCGAGCACTAAACACTGGAAACACCATGTCAATAAATCTGCACTGAAGTACGCAATTTAATCTTGTAATTACACAGACTGATTATAAAAAAAACCCTGTTCATTGTATATCTGGACTTATGTTTGAAATCTATATTATTCATTTTATTCACAATTTCACGCAATATTGGCAGAGGCATTGGTCTCTGACATTAGTGTGTGAAGTGATCGGTAGATCACACAACTAACCGTTATTTACAGCAACCACGGTCCGATTACCGCTATAGTTGACAGAGAATGCATACATATATCATAAATGACATACTTTGACTCGTTGAAAGTCATATTTGTTGTAGTTTGACTATCATATGTCAGCATAAAGTTTTCAAGATTGCGAACGCGAGCGCCTGGACGGTGACTGGTCAAATTATTTCACCGCAAGAAATATTGCGATCAGCTGTACCAAAGTGCAACGCTTATGGTTATTATTAATTCAAACATATAAAGTAAAAGCTGCAACTAAAATAACATGATATTGGAATATAGTATTCCTGATAAAATAATTGTTTCAGATACAATTCTTCCGATCACTGCTTCAAAAGTTTCGAAGTTATATAATTGGGAAATCTTTAACCAATTCACCGGTACATTGGGAGAAAACGTGTGTACAGCTGATTGCTGTTTCCGGCTTAGTTTACGAGAAAATACAACAATGCCTAGCAGGACAAGAATTACAATTTAAACATTGAATGAACATGTCTTGTGATGTTTTATATCAAATTTCTAATTTGTAGTGAATTAATTTTTTAGTTTTAGTTTTTTAATTTAGTTTATTGTCCCCCATTCGCTGAATGGATAAGATGTCGTTTTTTTTCTGCGCATAATACTCGAAAAAATCTTTTTTTTTCTCCAAAATACTGAATACTCATTTAACAAATACGCACGGATGCACGCTCCGTGTCTTTGGCAAGTGTATAACATTAAACACATGGTAGAAATCGCATTTTGAAATCACCCGATATATCGAGGATTAAAAATGATATTGTGATACGTATCGTAGAAAGCGTGAACCTCAATATACCGGTAATACCGCGTAAATAGGCTCCAAACTATAGCTTAAAAACTGTTCCAACACTTTCTTTTTTTGTTACAACTTTTGAACTTCACGTACATACCTGAACATACGCATACACACGTGTGATAAGCGCCGCTATAAGTCTGTTATGATACGAGGTTTGGATGTTTGTTTGAGACATTTAATTTTTCTAGAAAACAAGTATTTTAACATCGGTAGTAAGAGTTGTTCCCCTTGGGCCACTACTGTGTCCTATTTGGCCCTGAGCTTGGTTTGACTTTCAGAGTGGTCGCCCTTGGCCAATTGGGGAACGCCTTCATTCGTCACCACTCGCATGTTTCCGTAACCTACAACAAGGTCTACATTCGGCTTGTCCGGGAACGGGACGAGTTGTCACGAATGGGGACGCTTTCCTTCCACAAATTACAAACAGTATGGCCGAAGTCAATTTCGAAAATTGTTTTGATATCAGCCAACCCTCCCAGTAGAATTATTGGTTTTTGGTGATTGCGCTTTTTACAATATTTTTTGTGGGCACTACTTCAAGACATGCATTTTTCTGTGGAAGGTGGAGCCGAATATTATTTACAATACATTTTTGTCAGCCACCAAGCATGTCCAGTGAACAACTTTTTTAAAGGAAAAAAGGTAAAATCTGTCTTTCTAATATTTTCTGGAACCAGTATTTTTCCAAAAAAATATACAAAAAAATACAAAGGACCATTGTCACTATATTCATTGTACGCCCCGCCCATAATGCTACATGGTTGGCATGTGTGTGAGATAGTACAAAGGTTAACAACATTTCTGAGGACAGACACGCCCACACTTGGCGATGACCCACCTGATTTAGTGCTGGCGATGAGATGATAGTTGGCCAGTTTCCGTCCCGTGGCCGGGCTGGCGTGAAGGCGACTGGCGAGAGACACGGCCTTCCTGAATTTTAACTTTGGCTTTGTATATTCCTGTGAATGTAGATTGTCAGTGGAGCAGTAACTCCGCTCTTTCACTTCCGAGAAGCGGGGATGTTTCTCAACAGAAAGCGATTTATGTCTTTTAAAGCTAGATTTCTGAGGGTGCGCCATCTTCGCTTGAAGAAGTCCCTTAGATGGCGAGTGCGGTTGTGAGGAGGACTGAACGGGGGAGCCCTGAGCGGAGGCACACTCCCATGTCGTAGACAACCCAGTCTCTAGCTGCTGCACAACCTGGTTTGAGGGAGCGAACTGAACTTCCGGTCTGTTAAATCCGGTTTCCTGTTGCGCGTCGGTCTGAAGGTCGTTGAGGAGGTTCTGGTAGGCGTGAGACTCCGGGGGGACATTGGGGTTGGTATATCCCCCCGTGTCCTCTAAAGGGTTAACATAGAGGTTGTGTTTTGGCGTGTCCGAAGAAGGTGGGCCTGTGATAGAAGGGCTGTTCTGTGGGTGGGTGACACAGCTCGTGAACGTATCGGTGCTCGTCGAACTGTTCTGGCGGTAGAGTTGTTTCATTTCGATACAACTTTTATCAGGCGTAATCCGCTCATAACGTCCCTGAAAACAACCAAACAGTCTTTTATTAACAGACACCCATCCTTAATATTCCTACTTATTCAAATTATCTTGAAAAGCGTGAATTAAATACGACATTACTGTTCTGGTTAGTTTGTTTATTAGGTGTTGTTTAACGCCGCACTCAGCAATATTTCACCTATATGATGGCGGTCTGTAAATAATCGTGTCTGGAGAAGACAGTCCAGTGACTGACATCATGAGCATCGACCTACTCAACTGTGATACGATGACATACATCAACCAAGTCAGCGAGCCTGACCACCCGATCCCGTAATTTGCCTCTTACAATCATGGGTTGCTGAAGACTAATTCATCACGGAATTTCACGGGGGGTTCTGGTCGGTACTAGTTTTTGCCCAACAGAATTAGCGAGTGAGGGAGTATTGCTTCACGCCGTATCAGCAATCTTGCAGCTATTCGCGGCGGTCAAATGCATCTGTCTTTTCAGGTCTTTAAAGACCGAGATGTTGAGAAGTTTAATCTTCTTTAATCGCAAAAACACGTTTCTTGGGATAAAAAATATATAAATATCTCCAAAAAACAAACTCTTTACATTACGTCACAAACACTCAAGAAGAATACACGCAAAATGCTCACCTTCACGACCACCCCGAAAAGTTTGACAATTACTACAATAACCACGTGACATACTCTACTATGACGTCATAGCGTGCAGTGTGTGCCGGGTGAAGCTAAGCTGATATAAAGTTGTTCCTTGTCGCTACAGAGGAGACTAAACAATGGGAAGTCTAATCAACTATCAACTAGTCAACTATCAACTAGTCAACTAGAGCATTTCTCACACATTACGTCTGCAATATCCAGCATCTTAAGTAGATATCATCTGATCTTCTGATAATTTCAATGCGCCGGATTGAATATATGCCCCATAAGAAAGAGTTATGGTCAATAACGTTGTTTTGTTCCTTTCAGAATGTAGCCAAGGTCACAGAGTTACGATCGAGTGTTGCTTCGATTGTATGATATTCGACCGTTCTTTTCAAGGTCATTGTGTGTGTCAATCTCGCGATTCTTTGCTGGTTACGTGTCAGCATTGCTTATTAAACGTGTGTAGTTGTAGCACACGTATATCAAAGTACAAGCTATCACAACAGTCGGAGTGAGTGAGCGAATTCGGTATACGCTGATTTTAACAGCATTTCAGTTATATCACAGCGCGTCATGCAGGTCTTAGTTGTTTACCACTTCAGTGAAGTCTTGCCTACGGGAGCTGACAAACCAAGAATCATAAGGGCGAATCCACATTTCGAATCCAAAACACAGGATTCTGGCACACCTAAGGGAAGCAACTCGGCATGTCGAAATGCGACGCTTCATTACATCAAAAGCGTGGAAAATGAGTATTAATATACGAGGTGTTTACAATGACCACCTTATCCGACCAGTGAGTTAGGAAATAAACAAACTGTGTGTTCAAAGCCAAGCTAAGTTATCTGCACATTTTAAGCATGAAACCGTGAATTTGAAAAAAGGTCAGCGTGAGGTTTCAAATGATAAATTTAGCGCGGTTAAATCGAAAGATAACCTAGCTTAGTTTCAATTTGATGTGATTATTGTGATTTGAAACATCTCACTGATCAATCAGAGTCAATCAGAGTAGAATCTTTAAACAATATTTCAGTTATATACCGGCGTCTTAGCAACATAAGGGATGCCAGAACTGATGCCATTCAGATGTCAAAACAAAGTCCAATCTTAATAAAATCAGACCCCTCTGCCCGAAGATTTGAGATGACCTCCATACGAGGTCGCGTCAGGTGAACTTTATTATCAGCCAATCGGCTTCGAGGGTTCTCAATTAAGTGAGAAGGAAGCTTTCAGGCAAGCAAACATGATTTCTGTGTCTCGAAAACGAATATAATCGGAGAGTTCCAAATGCAAAAAAATAAAGCAGCTCTGTTAAAATATTGTGGATATTTTTTACATCCTGCCATTTTCTGAGCTCCAGGGTGAGGTGAGGTGAGGTGAGGTGAGGTAAGTAGGGTGTAACGTCGCGTCCAAGATTATTGCGCTTATATAGCGACGTGCATGCACGTGTGTATGTGTGGCTACTTTGGGTAGTCACCACTCAGACACAATATACTAAATCTGAGCCGACCAGTTCTTGTTTTAGACCCTTAATGCCGAGTGCTAAGCAACACCTAATAACAACAAGTACCATCTTTTAACGTCGTATGGAATGACGCGGCCGGGGATCGAACCCCGGACCTTCCGGGCGGACACTAGACCACTAGACCACGGAGACGGTTTTGAGCTCTAGGGCATCAACGCACACATGGATGGACTATCGACGGTCTCTGTGCTCTGTGTATTTATTTTTTGCTGAGAACGAAATTTCCGAATCGAGGTGTCGAGGAAAGAGAGCGATATTTACAAGTGAGTGAAGCGTTCAGACGAGCAAACGAGCAAACCTGACCTCAAAAGCGATATAATCGGGAATTTCCGAATCCATGTGTTGAAGAGATGAAGCCGGATCGTCTTAGAAAGCTGATATCTGAATGTCCAAAGGCACACGCTTCCTTAATTTAGATAGGGCGACTTTCTATGGAGGTGCCGTCAGATCTTCAGGCAGAGAAGTGTCGTATTGGCGTGAAAGATCTTATTTACATATGTGTACGTGCTGCGTTTGGCACGTGAAGACTCGCTGTTATTGTGTGTGATCTGTGAACAGATACTGAGATTGTGTGGGTGGAGGATGTAATGAAATGGGGTGTTAAGCGACTCGTGGTGTGAGGATGAGATGAGAGGAAACGGGCACCGGTGTTATGCGACTGGGATGGGGTGGGTTGAGGATAGTTTGTGTGGTGGGGATTGTGTCTGTGGTGGGGGTGGGGTAGGGATAGGATGTGGTGGGGGATAAGATGAAATGGGATGGGGTGGGGTGGTGTGAGGATGAGATGAGAGGAAATGGGCATGGGATGGGGTGGGTTGAGGATAGTTTGTGTGGTGGGGATTGTGTGTGGTGGGGGTTGGGTGGGGTGTGGATGGGACGTGGTGGGGGATAAGATGAAATGGGTTGGGGTGGTGTGGTGTGAGGATGAGATGAGAGGAAATTGACACCCTTGTTATGCGACTGGGATGGGGTGGGTTGAGGATATTTTGTGTGGTGGGGATAGGCTGGGGATTGTGTGGGTGGGGTGGAAATGGGACGTGGTGGGGGATACGATTAAATGGGATGGTGTGGGGTGGGGTGGGGGTGAGATGAGAGGCAATGGGCACCTGTTTATGGGGGTGGGGGTGGTGTTTGATTTGGGTGGCGATTGGATGAGATGGAATATTATGGGGCGAGTTTGGAGTATGTTGGGAATTGGATATGGTTTTGCGGGGCAGGGGCTGGCATTGGGCTGGCATTGGGCTGTGGCGTGTGATGGGGATGACGTGAAACGGGGTGGGGATGAGATGTGACAAGATGGGGTGGGCTAGGATAAGACAGGAACTCTCCAGAATCCATTCGCACGGCAACAATACAACGAAAACAGTGTGTACTCGTAATCAATCCGGACAAGTTGCATCACAGAAACTCATCACAAACATCTGTTAAATAAGCTGCTCAATTCACTTCCAGTGGGAATGATTAGTTTGCTGCTTACAAAAAAACGCCACCAACAGCCAAAGTATAAACTGCAACGTTGGCGAAAACTGTTACTGCTTGAAATGCTCCTCACCGCTCGAGGCATCCAACTGACTGGATCGATAGAGCGTGCATCCTAGTCACTGCCCTCGCACAAACTGGTGTTTACACGGTAAGGGGTAACATTGAAACCCCATTTCCTTGTTAGCAGACTAAATGTTGATGGACATGCGGTGGTACCTTGAATGGTGCTCTACCATAATAAGTGCTGACCTGTGTTGAAAGTAGCCCAACAGAAGCACCAACAGTCGTTGGAGTGAGAGAACCCGTAGTTTATTACTAACCTCGACAGATGGATGAAGCGGCCGCCGTAACAGTCCCTGGTATAGCTAGTGTTGGAGGGAAGGGTTAGAAATGAGAGAAACAGTCTATAGCTTCTGAACCAGTCGTGAGTGAGGTGGGTTTAACGCCGTTTTGAACAGTATTTCAGTCATATCACGGTGTATCAGAATGTGGGAGGGCATTGCCAATTTGGTGAAACCACAGGGAGGACATGATACGGACAAAAAAGTATCAAAGCGATCAAGGTTTCGAACCCACGATCATAGGATTCTGGCACACCAAGGGACGCAACTCTGCACATAGATTAAAACTAAGCCAGCCGTGCGCCAGAAGTAACAAAGCAGTGACAAGTTTGCATGCGCGTTCCTTTTGCTAAAGTTAAGCGTGCTTAGTATTTTGTCTAAATATGTTTAATATGGATTATGCATTCATATGATGTTTACTGTTTATTAGAATCAAAACTAGCATTGTAAGACATTTCTTATCATTCCTATTGAACACAAACACAATAACTGTACAAGAATTACACCAAAATGCACAACACACAAAACGTGTGGCAACTTGTAACACAGGCAGGGAACCACATACAGTGAAACCTCGATAGTCCGGCAACCCTGCATTCCGGGCGGTGTAGTTAGGAACGATCAAATATATCCAAAGGAATATTGCTCTGTACCCATTGTTCGTTAATCCGGACTATTTCTATAGGTACGGTGCCGTCTGGATTAACGAGGTCTCACAGTATCTGTTTATTGTTGATACCCCTCGAGAAACTTTCACTTTTAAATATTTAATTTATCCTTGCAAATCACGTTGTCACACTTACTAAAACATAAATTAACATGTCTTAGGTTTAAACACTTTGAAAATCTATTACATATTTTAGATAGCATCACAAGAAATATGATAACATATATTAGATATCAGTTGGAACTATGCTGACATTTATATATATCATATTGTTTTATCATTTTTTTGCAACAAATATAACATATGATAGATTTCTCGACATTGCTACAAAAACTCACTTAAGATATGACTACTC